TCAGAAACCGCCATGGTGCCTGTGGTCAGGGTTCAGCAATGCTAATGTTCTTCAAATTGATAGAGCTCCCTAGCAGGTATTATTCCCTATCCATATGCCTTCCAAACCTGAATACACCCATCTCAACCAGGAATTTCAAGTGCTTGACCATGTCACTATGTTGTCTTCAATGAAGTTAAGCAAAAATCAGTTAAAGAAAGTCGCTGTAGAGAGCGCTGCTTCAATGGAATTAAAATAATTTTAAAATGACTGGATATTGTTATTTTCTTCTGCCCATAGTACTAAACACATCATGGATTCCCAACTACTCACATTAAATTAGGAAGAGTTTCAGTGCAATCAATTGTAAATATAGAACAGAAAAGATTGGAGATTCAATGTATGATATACATTGAATTACAGAGTAGGGTAACTAATGGGTAAATTAAGGGAAGATTGTTTTATTTTGCTAGCAATCTTCTAAGGGTTTCTTAGAAAGTTTATCACAGACAACAAGCGTGCTCAAGAAGTTTAAGCTGCTAATAGAAATATACTCAATTGTCAATGGAAAGGTCGGGGGCCCAAGTTCACCTAGGTGCCTCAAAAGAAAGACCTGGCCATCTATTTCAGAAAAGTCATTCATGAAAATCTCTGTGGGGCTCCATCCTGTTGTGACACTTACAGTTCTACCGTAAGTTAGAATAGCTTTGATGACAACTAATGGTGATCCTTTATCAATCTTTCCTTACAGCTGTCCTAAGAGGGTAAATCAACAGGGATCGTTAGCAGCATTCCAGTTCATATATGCATGGGTTTATTCTAACCAAAACCTGCTGAAACATGGCCCTGTGATCAGCAGATGGCTGCAGGCACATGTCCTCGGGAATTCCTTTTGTCTTCGCTTGGTCTGGATGCCTTCAAGAAAAAGTTTATTCTAAACAGTGCTTTCCCAAAGGACTCGCTGGACCACTTTGCAAGGCAAAAAGGTTCTTTTAGAAGGGAATGGCAACTGTGATTTGGAATCCTAAATGGGGACTCTATTTATTTTTTTAAATGGGCAATCTTGATAGATTTTTTTTCAAAGGACCGAGGATGATCATGAGAGCACAGTAGGAAGAAACTTTAAAATTGAAAACTGCATTGGTGAGAAAATGCCAGGCACGTCATTTCTAGGAATCTCCTCCCACCCACCCCCATCATGACAGGGCACTTGCTTATTCTTCTAGAGTAGGAAGGTTTGTAGAATGAGAAGTTCACTGGGAAACCATACCCCACTCACTGTACAGTGCTAATCTTGGCCCTTCAGACATGTCTTTGTCCCCCAAACTCAAAGAACTTGGAAAAGAAGCAGGATTTGGCCTCCTTGAAGAATGTCCAAACTACCATTTGGACATGGTGTGAATTGAAGTGTGAAGAGTTTTCCGGGAAAAGGTTAGAGAGATAGAAACACCATCTTCAGAAGACTAGAGACTTATATGGAGGATATGTTGAGAAACAATTTCTTCACATTATAGTATTTCTGTTTAATAAATGTTTCTATTATTTATAGCAATCCTTTTGGACTTAATCTTGTATACACATATGGAACAAGAGGAGATTTCAGACTCTTATGACTAGAGCTACCCATAAGAGAAATTACACTTATGAAACAGATATGTCAATAGAGGAACCAATAAAATTTCATTAAATGTTCAGAAAATATTCAAATTACTGACATTTTATGTAATTCCAATTTTTACAATCTAACACATTTGTGATATCTCTGCTGTGGAGAGCACTTATGGAAATTATACACTTCCTTTTGGACTGTACTTCTTACACTGGTACACTCCTAAAAGGCCTACTGCACAAGTTTTTGCTAATCCCACCTGCATAGCCTGCTGTGATTTCAGGCTATCATCTAGAGATCAGAAACTGCATATACATCTCTATATATGGTGGAAATTTAAAGAAAATGATGCATTTTGTGTTGGACAGTGTCACTTCCCAGTGGCCAGTCATAATATAATTAGCTTACACTATAGGGCACAAATAAATTCTAGCTCATTTGCAAGAGTATATACTTTCTTCAACTTGGAGCATGTAATCTGTACTTTAATTAGTTCTCAATGTTTCATATCAAATTTATATTACCCTAACTCTGGTTTTTATTATAGGATCCACCCATGCCTGTGCTTGCTTATTTATTTATAATTTGCTAATTAAATTATGTGTTTTTTCTTCAGTTTATCTCTTTTTGTTTGTATAAAAGAACTTATGTACTTTTATTGCTTATAACCCCCAAATCACTCATTTTGTGTAAGCATCAATTTCATTATCTTTTAGAGCAGTGTGGTAGTTATATAAGTTCAAGTCAACTTGATAAATAAGTGGAAGGCTGGAGTCTAGCCTGTCAATCAGGTCACAGCTTGATGATGCCTCCTTGTGGGCGTGGCCTTCTTGTGAGTATTCTGGGAACTTCCTCTCTCCCTGGAGGTGGGCCACACTCTCTCTGTGTTCTTCTTCCTTTTGACAAGCCATGTGGAGACTTGCTTAGCCCTGTGAGAGTCTCTCTCTCTCTCTCTGGTTCTCTTTCCTGTTAAGGAGCTACACTTGGAGAGGTGGGGGAGCCACGTGGAGACCTGTGTTAGCGCTGAGATCCTTCCACTGCAATTGGGTCCACAAGACTTTGCACCCACAGGTCTGTGATCTTCCTGCATTTTGTATCATTGCATGTGACTGCATGAGTCCTAAGAGGAATTTATAGACTAGTATCAGACTTATGAGCGAATATTGGTCTTATGGACTTGATCTGGACTGGACTGGGATGTTTTCTTAGTATGTAATTGCTCTGTGACTTAAAGCTCTCTCTCACACATATTTGCGTGCCCTTGGATTTGTTTCTCTAGTCAACCTGGCCTAACACAAGTAGTGATCTTTGAATATATAATTAGGGAACCTATATTATTTTGTTATAAATCAATTGTATTTTATCTTGATATTTTATTTGAATAAGAAAATTATATCAAAATTTAAAAATTATTAAATTAAAAAAATTTAATGGGATATTTTATCTATAAATTTTAGTTAAAAATATGAAGGGGCATCAACAAGTTCATGAAAAATTTATTATCTTTTCATTCCATTTTTCACTAACTTTTTAAAGCCCCTTCATTTTAAAGAGAGCATTATACAATATATGAAGAATGAAAGTTGTCTAATTGAGTTGAGAACACTTCTGTGGTAGTCACCTAATCTGGTGTCAATATAAAGATTAAAAGTATAGGGGTGGAGTCTAGGCTGTCAATCTGGAGATAGCCAATGAGACTTCTGTGTGGACATGGCCTTCTCCTGAGAATTCTGGGAAATCTGATACTTCCTCCTTGAAGGCTGAAGACACCTCTCTCTCTCTGCTACTCCCTGGTAGACATTGCAGAAGACAAGCCACGTGGATGCAACCAGAAGTCTGAAGCCAGAGAAGCCACAGAGAGATCCCTGCCAGCACTGAGACGCTTACAATGCCACTGGACCCAAAGATTTTCTACCCACTGGATTGTGACTGTCCTGCCTTTGGCTTCATTGCATGTGTTTTATGAGTCTGAAGAGCACCTTATAGATTGGTATCGGACATATGGGCTAGTATCGGACTTATGGACTTGGACTGGACTGGGCTGGGATGCTTTCTTAAGGTAAAATTGCTCTTGTGTATAAACCTCTTCCTAATACACATATGTGTGTCCTTGGATTTGTTTCTCTTGTGTACCCACACTGACACATTATGGTACTAGGAGTGGGGTTTATCTTTTCAGAGCCTTCTTTGTGTCCTAAACACATCTAAAGATCAAATTAATGGCTCAAGGCAAGTGGGCTTACAAGCTCTATTTTCATACTTCCCAATAATAAACGTTTCTATCAATTATATCAATAATAATAAACAGAGGAAATCAGTATAAGCAAAGTAGAATCAGATACTAAACTCAATTCTTAAAACAGTCAAGTTCAACTCTTATTAGCTTATCTAAATCCTTATCAAAACTTCTATTGATATAAAAATATCAAATGAGGCCTCTGAGAGCATCAAAAGCGATCATGCTTTTTGTCAGCCATTTTGATGTTCTGTCAACCATTTTCTCTAAGCAGCCTGGTTTCTGAGAAATTCAAATGGCAATTTCTACCCTTGAGCTCAAAATATACACTCATCACATTCATTCTCAGCATTTCAAATAACCAACGACTACAACCAAACATAATAATCAAAACTTTAACTTTCCATATTCTTTCCAGAAAACAACTCAGTGAACTGCAAGGATATATCTGACTTTGGCTAGCCAAAGAAGGACCACTACCACAAGGAAGAGGTCAAGCAAACATCTATTCACCATCTTTATGATTTGTTTCTCTAGTATCCCACTCCCAAGGTAACATGATGTGTTAGTCTGAGTACACAAGAGAAACAAATCCAGGGACAGACATCAATGAAATCACACTTACACTTAACATTCAACATTTATCATACATATAAATGAAAACACACTGAGTCCAATTGTATCTGATATATCATACACGAACAAAGAAAAGATATTCAATAAGCACATATAAAGAAAATACACTAATAATCACAAACCTCACTTTTGCAATTGATCACGTGGTGGTAACTGATAGGTAGAACTACCTTCTTCTACTACCCATTCTGTATTACCTTTGCCCTCAGCAAGCACCTCAGGTGGCTGCGTTTTTTTGCCTGGTGGGGTGACCCAGACCTATGATCTGATCATCTCTCCAATTCTGAGGTCCCTTGGTTCCTATAATCTAAGAATGGTGCTCCCTCTTGTCTCCCGATATAGTGGATATTTCATTCACTGATACCCATTTAAGTTGAAGCGGCTCTTTGGGGAGTAAAGATGCCTATCCTCTAATTATGGAGGTGCGTCAACCATGTTCTATGATAATTTCACTGATTTGAAAAGCTCACCCTAAATCAAGAGACGCAAACACTCTTTCTTCATCGTGACCACTTTCACATGCATGTGCATTCCTCTTACCGAGTGTGACAAGGTGGAACATGGACATATTACTTCCTCTCTCAGTACAAGCGGTTACTGAGAGGTTGTAGATGTCTCCTGCAGGCAGGCTGAGAATTGCAGTCATGACATTTCGTGTTACCTGCAAGATTATCAAAATTGAGGGCTTAAATCTCTTGTGAACATGAATCAGTACAGAACCCCAAACAACTACAGTATATAGTTATCTTTTACTCTGTTCTGTGCTGCAACCTGAAATCAAATATAACCCTACAGGGACATTATTGCCTCAAAACATGATATAAATTATTAAATTGAGTCAAGCGCAGGGTAGCCCTAAAATGCATAATTCACTTGAGATAGATTAATTTCTCTCATCATTTTTTAAAAGGTAGAGTACATGATACTCTGATTTTTTTTCTTATTCTAAATTGGGTGCTGCTGATATATACATTGCTCAGTTGTGGCTGAGAAACTCAGAATGAAGCTTAATAGTATCTATAGAAATATGGCTTCGCAACTAAACACTACATTTCCCAACCTTTCATGCTTCTCAGGGACATGTGACAAATTCTGACAAATGGATTATCCATGGAAATCATATGGACAAATTATAGTTCAGCTCATGCACTGGAAATGCTAGGTTGCTGTTCCCTCTCTTTTTCCTTTTCTGAATCCTGCAATATGAATATGATGATGATGATGATGATGATGATGATGATGAAGGCTCATTATACAAATAAGGATGGCAAAGGTGGTAGGTAGAGCCACAGATAGAAAGAATATGGACCCTTGGATGACTCTTTAGAGCAGAGATGCCATGTCAGCTCTGGGCGATCCTGAGAGAGACATAAACTCCATAGTGTTTCAGTAACTATCTTATTTTGTGTTTCTATATTACACTGGCTAAGTCTACAGCTTGCCTAAAATACTGCTTGAAGGCTTAATAAACCACAAAACTATTCCCCTTATACCCAATATTTAGATGTTGGTAATATTTGAAGAAAATAATGAAATATATGAACTTACAATTTTTGGAAATGTTTGACATTAAGAAAGGAAACAACTCAAATCAACAATTATAGTATGAAAGCAAATTATTGTAGATTAAAAGGTAAGTTCCATGAGAGGAAGACTTTAATTTTTGTTCATTGTTCGAGCTCCAGAGCCTAAAGCAATGCTTCCTGGCCCACAAACTTTTGTTTAATGCCTCAGTAAAGGATTGACTAAGGGGTCTTAATTTTAATCTGAGATCAACTTCTCCCCTAGAGACTCTGGAAAGATCAAGGCCTAGCTGAAGCCTTGATTTCTGACAAATACGTTTCTGCTGTTCTAAGATGCCAAGTTCATGAAGATGAGTTATAGCAGCCACAGGAAACGAGTACAGATGCCCAATATGGGAATTTGAAGAAACATACACTCTTTTTAATTTTTTTCCTTCCTTCTGCAACAACCATCCAGTGTAGCATCCTAGAATGGGAGAGGTCAGTGGTGTCATCACCATATGTCCAACTGATATATAAGAGACTGTTAAAATATTCCACGGAAGTGATTTCTGGGGCCACGGGGGCTATAAGAGAAGAAAGAGGCTGAGTTTAGTATAATGGATCAATGAGTACTAAAACACTTACCAGTCCCTCAAATAGTGAATTTAGAGAATTAGAATTTACACCCACATGGCGATCCTTGAGTGTCCAGGACTTCACAGTGACAGAGTGACGGCTAGTGGAATAGTGAGTACCTTTTTTTTACACAGGAATCTACCTTTGATAGCTCTGACACAAGACAGCCAAGTCTATCTGTATTGGGGACGATCAAGAGCTTTTGTATAAATCTTGCTATTATAAGATTCTTAAAAGATTCACTTGTTTGGGCGGACCTGTTGTCTCAATTAATATGTGGGGGCATTGATAAAGCTACTTAAGTAGTGTTGGAAAACGTGGGGCCTGTAAAGGTACATATCTTTCACTGAAGTCCTGTGAAGAAGTTAATGGAAAGAGGACACTAGAGAGGAGGGCAGAAGGAAGGAGTCTTTGTTGGTAGGACAGAAATGAAATGTTTACAATGAAATAAAAAGGCAATACACGTATATTGACCTTGCTTATCACAGTGCTTGGCAGAAAACAGTCTGAGTAAACACTGTGGAAGCAAGTAGTAGGAGAGGGAAGAAAGGACTTTAAGAAATCATGGCACAAAAGTTAACTTCTTTCTGACATATAGTTTATTAACATATAGTTATTTCATCTTATTACACATTTAAAATGGTAAAGCTTGCTAACTGGAGAGATAATTAACTAGGAAGTTTATAAATATTAGCTCTTAGAAGATATTTTATTTATTTATTTTTTTAAGTAACTGGTAATTCTGGAAGTGAATTAGAAATACTATTTATAGGCATCTCCTACACACAGGAAAGCTGGACAATGATTAATGAAGCTCCAAGAGAAACTGATGCATTTGAATTATGGTGTTGGTGAAGGATTTTGACTATTCAGTGAACTGCCAGGCAAGTCTATAAATCTACCTTGGAAGAAGTAAAACCAGGATGCTCTTTAGAAGTGAGGGTGGTGAGACATGGCCTCCCACTCATTGGACACGTGAGCAGGAGAGACCTGTCCCTGGAAAAGGACTTCACACTTGGTAAAGCAGAGGGCCAGGGGACAAAAAGACCCTCGATGATATAGATTGGCACACGGACTACAACAATGGACTGTAGCATTACACTAATTGTGTGAGGATGAAGCAGAGTGGGTGGTATTTTGTTCTGTTGTACATCAGATCGCGATGGATCCAAATCTACTTCACGGCACCAAGTAACAACAACGTCCTGGTTCAAGACAAACAGGCGAGATCCAGCACCAAATCGACTCAAATATTTGGAAGCAAATTTCCATAAATTTAAAAATACTTTTAACATGCTGCTCATGTTAATAATGAATATCCAAAACAAACTATGATTTGAAGGACAGTTGTTTCCTACAGAGAACTGTAATAACTAAAGTGATAACCATTTCTGCTTTATGAAAGAAGGGTTGGCATTTCCAGTGTTTGACAAAATCTGTTAGCCCATATCATATTTCAGAGTATTCATTAAAAAAGGAAAATAATCTTGGCTTCTGAATCTATCCCATTATCATATACAATGTACATGCATACAATATACATATGTGTGTATATATATGAACTAACATATAAAATGTACATGTGTATGTATATATATATGCATATATATATCAAATGACACCTCACTATCTTCTAATTCTAAGCATTATTTTTAAAAACAAACATTTCCAGGTTTCCAGGTTTTTATACCCTAGTTACTGCTTTAAAATCAGCCTGTTACTGAAAGGCCACAAGATGTCACCATTTATTTATTAATCATTATTTGCTACACTAGCATAATTATTATGAACTTGATTTGCAGACAAAGCCATCTATCAAATAGACTTGAGATCTTAACAAAGTGCAATCATTTAAAGTACTTTGTCTTTTTTCTCCTCTTATCTCACTCAATTTGTCAGTTTAGATCAAAATTCAAAATATAAGAAAGTAAATCACCACATTAGAAAATTAATCCTTATTTACTTTCCAGTTGAAATGAGAGATGATAGGCAATAATAAACTTACAAAAAACCTAGAATTTAAACTGCTTAAAAAGTAAGTATAAACAAGAAAACTCAGCTACCAAATGTATTTTAATAGTGTCTTAAATAATTTAATTTTCACACTATACTGTGACGTGTTCACATACCCATTTTATATATGTGAGAGTTGACACTGTGCCAAAATAAGATTGCAGACTATTTGATTGCTCCAACAAGAAATAAATCCTCAAAGATTAATTTCTTGGAGGCAATAGATTGTTCACCTCGGCAAATGGCATGCCTATTGATCATGCTTATTAATTTTTACTTATCCGGCCTCACTTTGTCCACCTTCACTGTCATATTCAAATTTTGCAATCACAGTCAGTTTCCTGCAATGAAATGCCAGCACCATAAAACACTGTCAATATTTCATTTCTGATATTCCCGACACTGCAATGAATCATCAGGCTGGCGTTCTCCCTTACTGCAGTAGTGCAGCTAATACTGCAGCTCGGACACACTCAGCTTGGGTCTAGTAACTAGTTTTCAGGCCATATTTAGTGGGGCTCTACTGATAGAAGAATAGAAACCCAGGATTATCATGGAGATAATTTGGTCCAAGTTCTAAATCTGTATCAGAATCAGCTTTTCTCAATCAGGGCTCAGATACTAAGTCCAGGTACTTTCTAATAATTCCAAGCATCCCATATGAAAGGAAAAGAGTGTTCATAGAAAGATAATCTTAATAATTATGCCAAAAATAGATACAGTAAAGTTTAATTATAATTATAGATAAAGAGAGTTGCATATAACACAGTGCCTTGCCTATAACTAGTATCATTTATTTTTATTTTCAGTAATTCTTCTACATTTCTAGAAGCAGTGTTTCTCAAAGTGGGAGATACCTTGGCTTGTGGGGAATGGGTCTGGAATGATCCAGGAGAGCTACAAAAACAGATACCTACACTTTATCCTGGATAATGAGCAATACTACAAATGTTTTTAATTGCTAGGAGGGCATTGAGTAATTTTTTTTTTTTTTCAGAAAAAGGGGATTTAGGCCAAATACATTCGGGAACCTATGACTAGATCAGAGAGAAGGATCCCAGTGTCGCAGCGGGTTACCCGCTAAAAGTCAGCACTTTGACGGCACCAACTGCCTCTTGGGAGAAAGATGAAAGTTTGCTTCCGTAAAGATTTAGAGTCTCGGAAACTCTATGAGAGTGTTCTGCTCTGTCCTATGGCATTGCTGTGAGTTGGAATCTACTTGATGGCCGTAAGTTTGCTCAAAGAGCGCTCTAGATATGGGCCAATTTAAAAAAGTGACATATAAGTTGACTGTGTAAGAAATCACATACTTTCAATGTCTTCCCATTATTTTATTGATAATTTCAACAGACTAATACTTGATGTCAAGTGAAAATATTTCATGAAAATGATTCACCACTTAAACAGTATTTTCTCCTCTTGTTCCTCAGTTAAACTCTAACTATACTACAACTGTGCAGTCCAGTTAAAGGTTCTTTAAAAAATTCAGCTCAAGCAAGGATTATTATTTCTTTGATAAATTCTTCCTTTTTATTGTGATCTTTGACTACTGCTATTGCAGCCACACAATTCAAGGCCCCAAGACTCTAAGAACTATCAATGTCTCATCACTTAAACATAGGATCATATTTTCCTAAATAGCTTATTTAATTGTGGAATAAAGGCTCCTATTCTACAGCCCTGGAGTTGATTCTGACTCAAAGTAACTCCACATGGGGTTTCTGAGACTGTAAATCTTTACATGAGCACATAACTTAATCTCCCTCCCTTGTAGCAGCTGGTGGGTTTGAACCACCAACCTTGTGGGTAGCAGCTATCTAGCTTATAGATAATAATACTGCAACCCTCACCATTGCACACATTAAAAACAAGAAACAAAAAACCTCTGAGGCTTGGGAAAGTTAGTTTGTTCAAGGGTACCAGTGGTAGGTAGCAGAACGACGATTCAAACCCTGATCTGTCTATTCGGCGTCTTTTAACCCCAGCACTTTTCCATATGGCAGTCAGCCTGTGACTTTAAACATGACATAATTAATAAGGAAAAGGGGGCACTCTGACCAATACAGTCATCAACCGGGTAAAATCAATTGAGTGTGAAGCTGAAAGCTCTGCCTGCAACATCTCTACCCTAATTGATTCCAAACGGGGATACGCGTCAAGGGCAGTGACTCAGATAAAAATAACTCAAAGGCAGCCAATCAGAGAAAATTTTGTTTTCCATTTTTGAAAATGATCATCTAAATACATAATGAACGATCAGAATCAATCATATTATCTACCATGCAGTTGGCACTCAATGTTGACACTTTCACTAGATGGATCCTCTCAGAACTGCCTCAAAACGAGATCCCCCTTTCCTGGCACTTCCTCCCACACACCACTCACCTGTTATGAAGCTCACAGTGGAGCTGTCACAGCAGCTCAGCTCTGGGTCTCCCCATGTCACCATGGTAACACGGAAGTTGTAATACCATGCTGGCAACAGATGAGCTATTCTCTGAATGAGACAGAAAGCAAAGAGATAACGATTGAAAGGGAAAATATTTTGTGGGGAATAAAGTGATGTTTCTTTTTTTCTCTCTCTCTTTTAAGTTACTTTAACTATTGAGGTGGTTTACGAGTTTGCACATTAAAACATTTTTTTTATTAAATACTTTTATTGAGGGCTCTTGCAGCTCTTATCACAATCCATACATTCATCCAGTGTGTCAAGCACATTTGTACATATGCTGCCATCATCATTTTAAAGCATTTTCTTTCTACTTGAGCCCTTAATAGCAGCTAAAGTGATGTTTCTTAGGTCATGAGAAAATTGGTAAGTGATTCCTATTTCTTTGTTCTGCGTCTTTCTTCATTTACCAAATTTTCTATAATAAAAAGCTCTTTCTGGAATGAGATGAAGCAAGAACAAAATAAAATGCTGAAATATGAAATGCTTTTAAAAGGTGATTCAAAGGTATAGGGTTAAACACTTCCAATATTAGCTCCACTTTGTAATTTATGCCTATTATGCAGCTTAAGTAACGCTGATTTGTAAGTGATTGTATGTAGACCTGCCCCTATTGCAGAGAAAACAGACCTCTCACAACTCTGTATTCTCTCTACAGGGATCAGCTCCGAGATTGTTGGATGGCAATTATCCAAGCTGTCAACCAGACCAAGGACAATCGTGTGCTTTATGTGTCACCTATAGGTATTCTGTACATTAAAAGTTATTCCAGTCCTCAAAGGAGGTACCTTTCCTTGTCCTCTTAAAAATCCATCTGTAATGGTCTGGCATTATAGGTGTGTAAGGGATCTGTAGATGTTAACAATCGTCATCATTAGAATTAGGAAGTGGCATCTCACTGTTGCATACCCAAGGGAGGGGCAGCTTGTGTTCTTCTCCACAAGAGAGAAGCAATAAGCACCTAACAGTTCTTTAAGAAAATTCATTAGCAGAAATGTGCATAAATAAACAAGCATACCCAAATAGGGGCACAATTCTTTCTTTCAAAAGAAACAAAACAGAACAAAACAAAAAAACCACTTCAAACAAAAACAACCACAAGTCCTTGAAAGTAGCAAGCTACCTGTGTGCATTTACAAAATGATCTCTATTGCAGTTAGCTTTCGTGTGTGGACACCTGTGCTACATAAAGACACATCAGTTACAGAGACAAGTTCAAGGACGATTACCACTGATGCAGTTAAGGAGACGCTCGCTGCTATTTCATAGTACGTTGTCCACTCCGAAGTCATTGTGGTGGGGTTGAAATAAAACATTTCAACCAGATATTTTCTGAACACTCCTAAGTACGGTCTAGTCCAGCTCAGCACCACGGCTGTAGGGTCCAAGGGATAGAGCATTAAATCCTTTATTCCAGTGGGAACTACAGAGGGGGAGTGGGAGAGAGGAAAAAGCATCCAAGGAGAATGTTTACTCTCTTAGCCATGACCTCAAACTGCTGCCACTAACTAAGAACTGCCCTGATATGGTCACTGACAATCAAACAAAACACATTTATCTCTGATATCTTTTCCTCTGAGAAATAAGCAAACATTACGGATGTTCTTTATCCACACGAAGTTCCAGTCAGTTACTACATTGGAGGAGAAGAATGGGTGCCTTCCACATGCGATCTAAATGATCCGAGCTTGCAAATTGCCCTCCTTCAGCTGAGAAACTGAGCAAGGTGAGCTACTCTTCCTGAGGCTGGAAACTTACCAATGGCAAATGTCACAGGGTCTGAAGGTGGTCCAATCAACGGGCCTTTTCTTAGGTACAACACAACCTGATACTGGGCACCAGGAACCAGGTTTTCAATGATAGGTTTGCTGGAGTTCACCTGAAACCAAACACCCAATAAGATTTACTTAGAACCAGGCACGCAGAAGGTGGCACAGCTGAAGTAGTATTCAGGGAGCCATTGTGGACCCACCAAACCCAAACTCACTGTCATCTAGTCAATGCCGACCCATAGCGACACTCTGGGGGGTTCTGAGACTGTAGCTGTTGGTGGGAGGAGGAAGCCTAGTCTTTTCCCCACGGAGCCACAGATGTTTTTATTCATGCTGAGGAAGGTCAGATCTCAAAACCAGAATGATTTGTGGCTTATGGGAACACCGAGAGGAACCCAGGATATTCACATTATATGGTTGCATTTTATAAGCCCCTGAAGGGTCTCCTACCCATCACTGTCAGTTGGAACTAGGCCCACTCAGGCACATGTGCCTCTAACCACAATCAAATCAGTAATAGCCACGGTATAGTCTGACCTCCTAAATCATCATGTCAGCTTCTTACATACGAACATCAGTGCAGGAATGTCTTTAGAGGTACATGGCATCTCATTATAAAAAGGGAAATGACCGCTGAGATTACCTATCAAAGCCACTCATTTAATAAATCAGGAAAGTTAAGCTAGAGCATGGATAAGGTCATGTGTTCAGGTTCAGCACTGGGATTAGAAGCCTCATGCGGTGATTCCTAACCCAAAGACAAGCAAGTCGGGCTGGCACCGAGTCACAACAGTAAAATCCTCTCCAAGATTATTGCATCTCTCATAAAATATGTTGCAGGGAACATTTATACTTAGCTGAGCTCAGTGGTACTTTTCTGTGTTTTTTAAATCAATTCTTTATGTGACCGATAACATATAGGGAAGAATGGCAAGGACATAGAGATGAATAAAACATATGCATTAAAGGCATGTACTAGGATTGATAATTTAACTAAAAAAAGTATAATAGGTGTTATGCTTTGACCTTTAATGTCTTTAACATGTGAGGCAATCTTACCCAGTGCTTAAAAACACAGACTTAGACAATATGAGATCTGTCCCTTGTAAGTTGTGAGAATTTATGTAAAATATTTTAGCTTGTTTTCCTTAGTTCTAAAATATAAAATACTGTGGTAGTTACATAATCTGCTGTCAATTTGAGACATACGAGTGAAGGGGTGGAGTTTAGCCTATCAATCAGGTCTCAGCTTGATGACCTCATTTGGAGGCACTAAGGAGAGAAATAGCTTGCTGGAGGTGGGACACAGGGTCTCTCCCTGGGAAACATTCCTGTCAACAAGACACAAGGAGCTACACTAGAGCCTTGGGAGCTGGAGGAGCCACTTGGAGACCCCTGCCAGTGCTGAGATGCTGCTACCGCCACCAGATCCACAAGACTCCCACTGACCTGTGATCTTCCCGCATTCGGCTTCACTGCATGTCTTGTGTGAGTCTGAAGAGGAATTTATAGATTGGTATTGACATATGGGATAATATCGGACTTAGGGACTTTTTCTGGACTGGGCTGGGATGTTTTCTCAATATTCAACTGCTCTTGTACGTAAAGCCCTTTCTTATACACATATGAGTCTCCCTGGATTTGTTTCTCTAGTCTACCCAGATTTAATTTTACATGTCAAGTTTTTGTGAAGATATTTAAGCCAGAGTCTCAAGAATTGTTAACACTACTATTAACTTGTTGCTCTGTAACAGGGTACGCAGCTGGAAAAGTTATCAGAAGGAGAATCCTGGAGAACACCACTACGGACAGTTTATCCATGATGTACGGTCATTTTATGGTTTAGGCTTCATCACAATGTTATGGATAATCGGTGTACTGGTGATTTGGCACATATTTTATACCCATCAGTACTAGAAACAGATTCTACCCAGTAGACATTTTAGATTTGAATTGGTACACCTTGCTTTACACATACCTGCATGTGTACACTACAGGGCACCATGCCTGTAGTGGATTGAGTGGTGGTGCTCAAGAATATAAGTTCACGTCTCAACCCCGAGAATCTGTGAATGTGACCTTATTTGATCCTCTAAAACATCGACGCTTTCATAGTTTTTTTCCAGAACTTCCTCTATATCAGTGTTTCCCATGCCTAGGGGTGCTGGAACATTCGAGGGCAGTGGTTCTCCACCTTCCTAATGCCATGACCTTTTCATACAGTTCCTCATGTTGGGGTGACCCCCCGCCCCAAGCATAACATTATTTTTGTTGTTACTTCCTCACTGTCATTTTGCTACTGTTATGAATTGGGCAACTTCTGTGACAGTGTCGTTTGACCCCCAAACGGGTCACAACCCACAGGCTGAGAACCACTAGATTCTAGGGGAGCTATAAATGCAGATTACCTCTGCTTTGTCCTGGATTATGGGCTATAGTACAAAAAGTTTTGATTGCCACAGGTAGGTGAGTAGTTTGTTTTATACACAGGGGGTGGTGGTAGGCTAAATAAATCTGGGAACCTATGCTCTATACATTTATAAATAAAGGATATAATATTGTCCTGATCAAACAAGGAAAAATATACGACAGAATTTCAAGCTCTTGTGGACTCCAGAATTTTTGGAGCTAAGGGAGGAGGAGCACGAACCTTGGAAACTATTTCCCTGAGATAATCCTTACACCTCAAACCAAAAATCCCCGAGAGTCTTCTTAAACCAAACCCACTAGCACTGAGTCAATCCGAAATCACAGCAATTCTCCATGGGGTTTCTGAGACTAGCTGTTTAGAGAGCTGCCAGCCTCCTGTGGAGCTGGTTGGTGGGTTTGAACTTGTAGTTAGCAGGTCAACATTCATCCCACAGTGTCACCAGGGCTCCTTAAAACAATTACTAGTTCAACTAATAACACGTATCTCTCTTAAGCATTATACTTTTTTGAAAATATCTATATGGCATGAAAGAAACAATACCACTCAAAGTGTTAGAAAAGAGCCTTAGGGGACAGTGAATTTATATTAATGGGGGCGGTACAACTCAAACAAGTAGAATGAGAAGGTTGCACAACTCAAAACATGTAATCAATGTTACTGAATCGTACAGGCAGACATGCTTGAGGCAGGCTTTGATGTGCATCTTCGCAACAACGACAAATTAAATTTTTTATGAAAATGACATAATATTGAACTTATACACATTATACTACCAATATGGCTTCATACTTTCAAACTTAACAATAAATTACGCACGTACTATCATAGATAAAAGTGCAGACACCAAGCTCATTAATTCCTTCTTTAAAGTATTTCAGAATGTTACACAGGACACAATGAGTGTTTGAGGTAATATTAAAGTTCTTTTGGCTTGATGATATCCGAGGTAGTAATTGATTCTAATTATTTCCACCTGGAAGCATGGCCATCCTCATGAATTCATCCCAGGGAAATGATGCTTTTTCTTTTTTTATGAGAAACAACCATGTGTAAGTACATTTAAAAGAGACACAAAAGCAATTGAAAATGAGTATTGAAAATGAGTTGGCTTGGTAACAAATAATAAGCAGTAATACCCCCCCACCCTCCGGTTTCTGAATGTGGGCTAAACTAGTAACCTATGTCTATCTATTCTTCCCTCTCTCCATGCCTTTGCTGGATCTCTTTGAACATGGATTCGAGATAGGCAGGAATAATCATCGAACTTCCTACATACCAAACAAGATGTATTTCATTCTCTAAAGAGTCGGTCCATATGCCATCTCCAACTTTAACTCTATTTTTGCATATTGGCCTCCTTTCTTATTCCTGACTGGCTTAGTCTCCATTCCAGAGAGTTCAATTCAACTCCATATGTTCACAACTGGACACCAGTCCTATTCCCCCTTAGGTAAAGAAATAAGAAGGAGGGTGTACTAGTAATATAAAGTAGAATAACATAAGACTGATGGTTAAATGATGGTGTGGAACTAAGATAGAGTGAAGGTCCCTATCACAGTTCCTTAGGTGTTTCTCTCTGTTGATTTAAAAATCATCTGGTTCAGTATAATAATAAAAGCACTTTGCATACTTTTTTACTATTACTCTGCTCCAGGCCCTGCTTTAAGCATCAGGCCCTTTTTTATCTTTATCACACCCCTGTGAGGTAGAGTGTGTTTCCTCCTATGGAAGGGCTCTGATGATTCAGTGGTTCAAGTGCTCCACGAGAGAAAGCTGTGGCCGTCTGCTTATGGGAGCAGACAGATTTATCTTTCTCCATTAGAGTGGCTGGTGGGTTTGAACTGCTGAGTTTGTGGTTGTGAGCCCAATATTTAACCCACAGTACCAGTCAGGCCACTTTCTATAATGACTACATCTTGGAAGCCGTATCAGGCAGCTCTACTCAGTCCTATTGAGTTGGAATCAATGACAATGAGTTGTGTATCATACAGATTAAGACAGTAAGATTTACGGAAGTGAGGGATGTTGCCCAGGGTCGGATAACTGGTAACCTGTCAAAATCAGGTCTAAAATCCAAGTCTCACTATGCAGTGTGTGCTCTCAGTCACTCCTCTGGTTGCTATTGAGAGGGGCAATAAGGATGGCTCAGGCGAGATAGCACATGCAATCGAGCAGAAACAGCACTGACCTGGACGTCAGACACTGGATCACTTGGGTCCTGGTCTGAGCTCTGATGTTGACCATTTGTGTGATTTTGAGCAAGTCCTTAATATTTGACCTGCTGGGCCTACTATTTCTTCATTTTTAGAGTCAAAAGACTGATCAATTATTGTCTGTGAGATGGTTATTATCCATTTGTATAATTTGTCACACAATACTCCTAGATAAGGTCGATCCTATATAAAAGTAAATATGCATACTTTTATTATAGGATGCTTCCTAATTCTGAAATTTATGATTCTGTGCAAGTCCTTGGAGCCCTGATGGGATAGTGGATTACAAGTCAGGCTGCTGACGGAAAGGTCAGCCATTAGAAACCACTGACCTCTCTATGGGAACAAGAGGAAGGAGGCTTTTGCTCCCTTAAAAGTTGCCCAGCTTGGAAACTCACAAGGGCAGCACCAATATGCTCTAGAGTTCTTATGAGTTGGAGTGGACTTACTGGCAGTGCGTTTGGTTTTTGGTTTGGTGACTCTTGCGAGAGAATTCTGAGAGCACGTTTACTTTGAAGAACTGACTGAGTACTTCATAGGTTGACTTCATATATGTCCCACATATGTCAGTGATTGAAGAACACCACCCTGACCGCTAGGGAAGATATCAGGAAACTTTCTCTACCGCAAACGGTCACACACAAACTCACACATTAATCAATACAGACATGAAGAGCAAGTAGTGATGAGGGAAATTCAAATTATTGTGTACAATGTACCGACATGGAAGGCTGGATGCCAAGCTTCAGAAAAGCAAGGTTCCGGTTTAATTTATCCTTGTCTCTAGGATCTCAGGGCAAACTCCTACATAGCAAACTTCACTGGAGTTGTCGGAGAGAGTGGGGACACCTGCAGTGAATCTTATGGATCATCAAGGCAGTCGATAAAGCAATAATCCTGTAGTGTAGCCAGAGGGAGAGGAGGCTACAAAATAGTGTGAAACGTTATAATTCATTAATTTATGTTTCCCTCTAGAATCACCTTGTTTTAGAGAGAGATGTTTAATTCTCTAGTTAAAATAAAAACACCATTGGATATAGGATTAACCCACCCCACGCATTGCCATTAAGTGGATTCCAACTGGTGGAAACCTTATAGAAAGGCAAAAAACTGCTCTGTGAGGTCAAGGATTCCATCTTGCTTGGATCCACAATCAAGGAAGCATGTTCGGGGAAGCAGCAGTCAAGATCACACAGCACATTGCAGGGAGTAAATCTGCTGCACAGACCTCTCTAAACTTGACCAAAGCCATGGTGTTTTCCACTGCCTGACATACTTGTGAAAGTTCGACATTGAAAAAGGAAGACTGAAAGAGAATCGATGCATTTGAACTGCGCTGTTGGCAAAACCTACTGAAAGTCCCACAGGCTGCCAAAAGAACAGACGTCTCTCGTGAAGGGAGGACAGCCAGCATGCTCCTGAAAGGCAAGAATGGCAAGCCTTTGTCTCATGTATTTTGCACATCTTATCAACAGAGACCAGTCTCTGGAGATGGACCTCATGCTTGATAAGGCAGTGGAGGGATGGGGGGCAGTGAAAAGGAGGAGGAGCCTTGACCAGATGGATTGACACAGTGGCTGCAACAATGGGCTCAAATCTAAGAGCAATTGTCCGGAAGGTTGGACCTGATAAAGTTCCCTTCTGTTATTCAGAGGGTCGGCCTGAGCTGGAACCAACGTGGCAGCACCTGACAACGACAATGGTTTCCAAGTCTGTAAGTCTTCATGGGAGCAAACAGCCTCACCTATCTCATCTGATGGGTGCGTTTGCACCACAGCCCTTAGGGTTGGCCGCCTCTGCTTAGCCCACTGTGCTACCAGGCTCTTTCAGAGAACTGAAGAAATATTATTATTTCTGGAGAATGGCTGCTTTAAGAAATAAACTCGAATCAAACTGGTCCATGCGAGAACATCTAAGTCCCTTCGATGAATGCCCACACGATGCTAGGCTGGTTCTTGAGACTTTTGAACTTGTTTCTTTATTATAACTCAAGGGTAGCACAGTGGGCAATGTGTTGACTGCTATCCAAAAAGTTGACAGTTTGAGCCCATTAATGACTCTGTAGGAGAAAGATGGAGCAATCTACTTCTTACAGCCTTGAAAATCAGAGGAAGGAGTTCTACTCTGTTCTACTGGGTCACCAAGACTTGGTGGGTTTGCCTATAAATCTTAACAGTTTTATATTAAGATTTTGTTCCAGTACATGATTTTCTCATTTATAATTTACAATACCTATAACTTTAGTCTTTGAACTCTATGCAAAAGATGCATAATTTGTACATTAGATAGGGTGAGGAAGAACTGTACCTTGGTAGTTAAATTTCAAGTCATGATTTTTTTTAAACATCATTTTTATGGGGGCTCTTATAGCTCTTACAACAATCCATACACCAATTGCATCAAGCATATTTGAACATATGTTGCCATCATCATTTTCTAACCATTTTCTTTCTATTGCTTCTGACAGTGGTTGCTATTCCTTCTGATAGATGGCCCCAGGCACTATTCATTTCACAGATGTTTACTGATTAACTACCGTGAGCAAGGTACTGCAACAATCTGAAAAGAGTTAAAACAAATTCATGTCATGCTTTTTGAGAGAAATATTTTTTCCATCAAAATAGTGAATACTCTTTGCTATGCTTCCGGATGGAAGCTAATAAGCTGTACAGTGAACTGTGAGTACTAGCATTAATTTTAATTTAGCATATTTACTGCTTAATTTAATTCAAACCAAGATCTTACCCCGAATATAGCTAAGAATATCTAATGAGTCAAAGGCCTAGGATTTATGAGTTTATCGATTTAAAATTTCTCACTACTTGAAATTCGCTAAACACTCAGGGTTCCCAGGAGAAAGGGAAACCCGCCTAACATCTTTCTGATAGCAAATCAAGTACGTTCAGTGCTGTGTCTCCAGGGGGCTTTATGTAAATTCATTACTTTGGCTTTAAAAAAAAATCATTTT